CATTTACAAACAGAACGTTTTGGCTGACATTGCCGCCCTTCAAAAACCAAGGCCTCTCTCTCCTTTCTCCTTCTGGCTGATAATGGCACAAGTCAATCGTAGCCATCGATTTACTTCAGATAACAAACCAAACCACAAACAAAGAATTTTCCATCCTTTTTCAAACCCATCTTCTTTCTTTCTTTTTTTATTTTATAAATTTTATTTTATTTGCCAGCGGTTTCTGTGATCAATTGGTGGGGAGCATCACCTGCTGGAAACCGGGTCCAGCGTTCCATTGATGTACATGAATACTCTCTACTGGGTGCCATTGCCCGGCTTTGGCTCAAGAAGATGTCAAAACTGCGCAGATGTGCTGCCGGGGCAGCCCAAAAGCTATGTCACGGGTTCAGCTTCTTCAGCCTCCCAGGCCGTCAAACCCACCTTAACTACGTTCTCCCTTGTCTTCCCTGCTTCCTGCATCTCATTACTGCCGCAACCATTTTCTATCCTTTCCCCCCCCCCCCCCCCCCCCCCCCCCCCCCCCCCCCCCCCCCCCCCCCCCCCCCCCCCCCCCCCCCCCCCCCTCCCCTCCCTCCCCCCCCCCTTCCCTCCTCCCTCCCTCCTTTCCTGCCTCCCTTCCCGCTCCCTCCCCCATCCCTCCCTCTGCCTGCCCTGGTCTCTACCCACCAGACTAAGATGTTATACAATGCCTTTTTCTTTTCACCCCCGTCGTGCTTGCTGTTCAGCAGGAGCTGAACGTAGACGGCCTGTTCCTCCCTCCCTCCCAGTCATTTATATCCTAATCAACTCAGAAATTTACAGCTCATCCTTTTCAGCCCGCGCATGCATACCCTTCCGTTGCTTTTTCTCCGTAGGCGAGTATCTGAAGATTTCCATTCCCATATCTCGTAAGGCCCCCCAAACCTTGAAGAAGTAACCCACAACTGAGGCCGAGCGGCGCACCTGACGCATACATGTCATTTCCCATGTGTGTTTCATGTGGTCCCCCACCACCTCCTCCTGCAAGGTAACAGGCAGAACAGAAAAGAGGACGGCGAAAGCGGTGAGGAATCTCTGAAGATGTAAACAAGAACGAACCAACGAGCTCGGCCCAGTGAGCTCGGCCCAGTTGGTACACCAACAAACTGTTTGAAATCATGTGCAACAATGACCCACTTAATTGAAGTTAATTCCGAATTACCTGGGCCCGGTCAACTCGATGACTCGATGACGATATCTAAAGGCCATCGCCCTTTTTTTTAACCTAAAAAAAAAAAAGGAAAGAGAACAAAAGAGGTAAACAAGAACTACAATCCACGCCAGCGACTTCTGCAAGGCAAACCATTACCAGCATTCTTTTTTTTTTTTTTTTTTTTTT